TTGCGGAAGTGATCAAAGCCGAAGGACGAAGGTTGTGCAGGCATGATGGAGGTATGTAACGGTTTCTGCAGGAATGATTCAACAAACAGTTGCATGTTGACTGAAAAGAGCACACACACTTTAAGATTTCGTCTCTGTGATGATTTTAATGCTGAATATTGGCAATTAAGCATGCACAGGTCTTGAAATTATTTTTTATGGTCGGAGCAGGTGCGGAGGAAATTATTGAACTCGGTTGAAAAGTGTGTAGACGAGGCTTTGGAGGGTCTCGTCAGGAGTAACGGGGGTCTGGCGCTGCTGCGGGGCCACAGAGTTGTGCTGCTGTCCAATCTGGAGAGCATTAAGGGAAAGGTAGCGCTCCTTTCCGGAGGAGGATCCGGCCACGAACCCGCGCATGCAGGTAATGCATGATACACCAGCCCCTCCCTCCTCTGGCTCACTTCTCTGGCCCTGTCCCAAATGTACCTTAAACCAGTGGTGTAGTCTAGTTTTTTCTTGTGAGTATACTGTGATTTTTTCCACCCAGCCTCATACTCGCCTGTCCCAGAGCGACACCCCATAAGCACCACCACACTCACTAGGCCATACAGTTTGCATCTAACTGAGAGCATTCTGAAAGACTGCTTGTGTGATATCAACATGCCAATTTATTATAAGCAACTCAATATTTTAACAGCCAATGACATTTACAGCTGGGGAGACTGGACTGCTTTTCTACTGTTTAACTCAGCCAGTTAAGAGCTACATTTATCTTTAGATGTTGTATGAATATGATCCAGGTTTTATCAGCTGGCAATTTTCAATGCACATTTAAGAGTGCCTGTTTTTAAATTCCCTAGCCTGACTTTCAGTCCATAAGGCTGGCCAGGAGTTCCCATCTCTCTCATCATCTGAAAAAGGAGATATAAACATTGTATTCTGTTTACTGCTGTACACAGACACACACAGTATCTTAGTTATCTCTCCCCTTCACCCACATTCATTGATCCACCACACTAACTTTAGTGAAGTTATTAGTCACTTGAGAAAGCCTGCAATTTGTTATACTATTTAAACTTATTATTATTATTATTATTATTATAAAACCCAGAATTTTCAACTCTATCTCCTCCTAGGGCTTTAATGCTACAAGCTCCAAACTCTGCAGAGACCTTTGAGCTTTAAAGTTTGTTGCTATATCTTTTCTAACTTATTGGACTTACAGGTTTGGTATAAATAATTATCAAAAATTTCCCATAGACTTGCATTGGCTGAGCAACAATGCCCCCTCTAAAGGACAATTGCAGTCCACTAGAGGGAGCCACAGGATAAGAAATCTTTCAACAGGCCTCATGTACTTTCGTTTTCAAACAGTTAAAGTTAAAGATAAAAGCATACATTTCCTTTATGCTGCCAAGGAAAGCTAACATATTTAATCGTGACCAGGTCAGGTAATGACTGTCTGATGGCCAGAGGCCAGTGTGAAAGACGCTCGGGACAGATGACTGATATGTCACAGCTCCGATCGGGTTATGCTGTCCTCACGAAAGTTAATCACAGGGCCCTCCTTAGGGGCAAGGGAATAATTCAAGACAGTTATATGCCGTTATCAGCATATGTTGAAGTAGATTAGTCTCTGAGAGAAAATGCGCCGTTAATGCAGCGTCAGATGCCGAAAAGCGCTGTCAGTTTAAAAAAATAAAATAAAAATTACTTTATAAGTTATTTAATGAAGAAATATGAAGGTGAGTACCTCACCTTCAGCATTATAATTATTTCACCCGCGCCGGGCAGAGACTGAGACGGTGCCGCTGCATGTCGTGCCAAACCTCTCACTGCAGCGTCATCAGCTTGAGATCATCTTTTAGAGATCGGCCTTTTTAGAGACCGCCGATCAAACATCCCAACATGATTATCGGCCGATAGTGATCGGTAGCCGATCAATCGGAGCACCCCTAGAAGTCTAGTAGTCATTCGGAACGACGTCTTGGGGAGCCAATTGTTGAGCATTGGCTGAAGAATGGTGCGGAGTTATGGGCTGGTTGAAGTTTTGTTGGCAGGCACAGACAAAGTCTGAGACATGGCTTTGTGGCAAAACTTAACTCGGAACACGAAACTCTCAATGGAAAAGAAAGAAAAGAGTGTGATGAGACTAGATGGCTTAGATGGCTTATTTCCTCATGATGATAGAGGAGCAGCTGGCATTCAAGCCAGAGCACGCTGGGAAAGCGCTCGAAGAACTTGAAGGCAAAAAGCCATGGCAAAAAAACAAAATTTGATTGTGTACTGAGTTTTTAAACTCAGCTGTTGGACATATCCCAAATGGTGTCTTGACTAGTGATCTACCGATATTGATATTTTATAACCGATACCGATACCAACTATTTCCATGTTTATGTGCCCGATAACCGATATGCAGAACCAATATTTATTTACTGTTATAAAGTAAATAAATGACTGAGTGAAGTAAGTCCATACTTCACTTTGGTTTTTCCTCCTTTCAGTCATCTTAAAAAAAGTGTTGAAAATTAGCAGTTATTTCATGTTAAATGTAGTTCGTCTCTATTTCTTCGAGCCAAGCTGCATAAACTGCATATCGGGCATTTATGTAATACATCTAATTTGCGCATTAATGGCTGTTATGTTAAATAAAGTTGACTAACTACAGTAAACCAAATACCCGTGCACGCCGTTGTTGTGGTCTTGTTTCCCTCAGATGCGCTGCAATGGTGATCCTGCGCGCAATTCTCAAAACATCCACAAGATGGCGGCGTTTATCGGTGAATCCGATATTACAAAACCGATATCCGATTATTGTAAAATGCTTAAATATCGGGGAAAATATCGGTAAATCGATATATCGGTCGATCTCTAGTCTTGACCAATTAGACATTGTCTTAGCTCAGGGTGTTACTACATTTCTCCTCCTCCCAATACATAAATCAACATGTTATCTTATTAGTCATATGAGCCGAATTTTCCCGCTCTTGCAGAGCATAATTTGGACAATGGTTTCTATAACAAGAATCTGATACATTTTACAAAGAATTGATTGATAGAAACGTTTCAAGTAGGACTTTTCACACGCATGCATACCAAACTCGATTATAAACCTATAAACTATTCAGTAGTTATTCAAAAGGACATACACAATGAGTGACTAGAACGTGATAGTCAAATGTGTGGGTTACATACATGATATGGAGTTATGCAATGGAATGAAATTTAATTTATAAGTCCTTTTAGCATCATTTTGGTGCATTTATATATGTAAAAGACTGTCTCTGTGTCGTTCTGTGAATGTGAGGATGTGTTCTGTGAGGAACAAAAGATCTCTGTCTCTGTCCTGAGTGGTGGAAAACCCAAGGAAGTCTTAACTCATGATTTCCCTCATCATTTTACTCGTGATGGTCATGATGTGTTGTCTCTTCGATCATTATTCTTGGGTTGCTTGCCCCAAATTTGACAATCTCCTTCCTGAGTTGGAAATATCAATAAGTGTTCTTTGTTTTAATGCTGCAAGCTGTTCAAAGCTGCTAGTTAGTTAGACTTGCTTCAGACTTGTGACGCCAGGATCCTGGAGAGATTTATGGTCAACATCTTGTTATCCAGGGCCTCTTTGTGGAATTTGGCTCTTTGTTTTGTTTCAACAGTATTCTGATCAAATCTTAAATGGTCTGGTTCTCTCTGATATCCTACACAGCCTTGGATAAAAAGACTTTTTTGTTAGAGATTAATTTTGCTTAGTCATTTTATTTTAGTGGGAAAAAACTTCATTACTAGTGTTGCTGTAAACTTTGATCTTTGTATTAGCCACCACTATCGTAAGAAAGAAATGAGAGTATGATTATTATGAAAGCTTCTTGTACAGTTTCAAGGGGATTTTTGTTCATTATGATTTTACTGTAAAAAATCTAATACTGGGGGGGGGCTATAGTTACCATTGTAAATTTTTGTTCCACAAAAATATTTAGCAGCACAATTTTTTTCAGCATTGATAATAATAAGAAATATTCTTGAGCAGCAAATCAGCATATTACAGTGATTTCTGAAGAATCATGTGACACTGAAGACCAAAGTAATGGCTGCTGGAAATTCAGCTTTGTCATCACTGGAATAAATTACATTATAAAATATATTAAAATAAAACAGTCATTTTAAATTGTAATATTTCACAATTTCACAAAAAAATGTGTTTTTTTTACTGTATTTTTGAGCATAAATGCTACCTTGGTTAGCAATCTTACCGACCCCAAACTTTTGATTAGTAGTGTACATTTATGCATGTGACAGACACTTATTATTATGGTCTGCTATTTTGAACTATTATGACATTTGAGAAATGTCACTCTCACTCAGGTTATATTGGCGTGGGAATGCTGTCCGGAGCTGTGGCGGGAGCAGTATTTGCGTCTCCTCCTCCAGGCAGTGTGCTAGCCGCCATTCTGACTCTGTGGAAGGGGGGTGCTTCGGGAGTCCTATCGTAAGAAAGAAATGAGAGTATGATTATTATGAAAGCTTCTTGTACAGTTTCAAGGGGATTTTTGTTCATTATGATTTTACTGTAAAAAATCTAATACTGGGGGGGGGCTATAGTTACCATTGTAAATTTTTGTTCCACAAAAATATTTAGCAGCACAATTTTTTTCAGCATTGATAATAATAAGAAATATTCTTGAGCAGCAAATCAGCATATTACAGTGATTTCTGAAGAATCATGTGACACTGAAGACCAAAGTAATGGCTGCTGGAAATTCAGCTTTGTCATCACTGGAATAAATTACATTATAAAATATATTAAAATAAAACAGTCATTTTAAATTGTAATATTTCACAATTTCACAAAAAAATGTGTTTTTTTTACTGTATTTTTGAGCATAAATGCTACCTTGGTTAGCAATCTTACCGACCCCAAACTTTTGATTAGTAGTGTACATTTATGCATGTGACAGACACTTATTATTATGGTCTGCTATTTTGAACTATTATGACATTTGAGAAATGTCACTCTCACTCAGGTTATATTGGCGTGGGAATGCTGTCCGGAGCTGTGGCGGGAGCAGTATTTGCGTCTCCTCCTCCAGGCAGTGTGCTAGCCGCCATTCTGACTCTGTGGAAGGGGGGTGCTTCGGGAGTCCTGCTCATCGTGAAGAACTACACGGGTGACCGCCTAAACTTTGGCATAGCTGTCGAACAGGCCCGGACACAGGGCGTGCATGTGGACATGGTGATTGTGGCTGATGACTGCGCCTTCGCTCAGCCCAGCAAGGCCGGCAGGAGAGGCTTGTGTGGAACTGTGTTCATTCATAAGGTACCATAATGAGTTTGAGTGGCAACATTAATGAATTGTAATCATCAATAATGACAAAACAAGAATTGTTTATTTTAATGAGTGCTGTTTTTATTTTTAGATAGCTGGAGCTCTGGCAGAGAAAGGCTGTCCATTGGATGAAATTGTTGCACGGATGAACGAAGCAACAAAAAATATTGGTAAGAAAAACCAGCATAGTACTATCTGGGTTGTTTAGATTAAATGTTGCAGTCCTTCATTAAATTTGTTTCCGGTGTGGATGTACATCCACTGTCCTATGTGAAAAATATTTAGGTGTTTTTACAGGCACGCTGGGTGTTAGTCTGTCTCCATGCAGTGTGCCTGGATGCCTTCCATCTTTCCAGCTTCCACCAGGAGAGATGGAGCTGGGACTGGGTAAGAGAGATTAATATCTAAAGAGTAAAAATAACTAATTTTATGTAGCAGTAAGTATACTTGCATATTTTTTAAATGTTTTTTTTTTTTAAGTCTCTTTTGCTCACCAAGGCTGCATTTATTTGATCAAAAATACAGTGAAAACACTAATATTGTGAAAAATTATTACAATTTAACATAACTGTTATGTATTTTAATAAATTTTTATATTTTAAATCCTGTGATGGCAAAGCTGAATTTTCATCAGCCATTACTCCAGTCTCCAGTATCACATGATCCTTCAGAAATCATTCTAATATGCTGATTTGGTGCTCAAGAAACATTTATTATTACTATCAATTTGAAAATAGTTGTACTTGTTCATATTTTTGTGGAAACTGTGATAAATAGAAAGTTCAAAAGAACAGCATTTATCAGAACTGGAAATCTTTTGCAATATTTTAAGTCTGTTTACCGTCACTTTTGATCAACTCCAAAGAGAAAGGAAAACTTGAAATCGCATCATATGACCCCTTTAATGCATGTATGTATATTATATTTATTCATTAAAATATACGTATTTATTTGTATAGGGATCCACGGAGAATCAGGTATTAAGAGATCAAAAGTGAGTATTTTCAACGTGCCGATAATCCCTACAATAAAGAGCAGTGTATGGTCTTTCATATTGATGTTTTTTTTGTTTGTTTTTTACAGGTGGCCTCTGCTGATGAAGTTGTGAAAACCATAATAAGTCACATGACTGATTCCTCGAACAAATCACATCTGTCCTTGAAATCAGGTAAGATGTGTAACTGGTCAGCACAGGGTTGATTCTGAAGGTGTGAGTGCGTTTACATGAATGTGTATTTAAACCTGTATTTCTCTAACAGGAGACAAGGTGGTGCTGTGTGTGAATAATCTTGGTGCACTCTCATGTTTGGAAATAGCTGTGGTTTCTAAAGTGGCCGTACACTGCCTAGGTGAGACTCAAGTAGCACAAAACATTATAATATACACTATATATTAGATGTACAACATTCAGCTTTTAGACAATTTTTTTTACATAAATTCAAATAATCTTGTTATATCCTAATATTTGAATTTCACTATACTGTTAAGGATTTTTAATGAAAGAGTTTTGGAAACTGTTTTTATAAAATGAGATGTCCTTAACGGACATTGACTGTGTCTGATTCGATGGTTGTCATTTTCAGAGGAGCGTGGTGTGCTGGTTGTCAGGGTGATGTCAGGGTCATTTATGACATCACTGGAGATGGCGGGAATGTCTCTTTCTTTAATGAAGGTCGATGAAGAGATGCTCAGACTGTTTGGTGTGTTCTGTTTATAAACCAATTTTACAAGCATATTTACCTGGATGAGATTGCAATCATTTGTTTATTCTCAAAAAGAGAGTAATTATGACAGATACATGTCAACATATTCTGTTACACCAAATACACAAAATAATGATCTTTAAAATAGCATCATATGACCCCTTTAAACCTTATTATTTCATTATTAATATAAATATAATATTTGTAATGAAAATTAACATGGATACATATTTTTTGACATCATATCCCGTTTAAAAGTTTGTGGTCGGTAAAAATTGTAAATGTTTTTTAATCTCTTGCTCACCATGACTGCATTTATTTGATCAAAAATGCAGTGGAAACACTACTATTGTGAAAAATTATTACAATCTAAAGTAACAATTAGTTTTGTATTTTAATTGATTAATTAGGATTCTTTGATGAATAGAAAGCTCAAAAACAGCATTTTTGTGAAATCAAAATCTTTTATAACATTATAGTATATGTCTTTATGGTCACTGTGATCAATTTAATGCTTCCTTGTCAAATAAAAGTAATTTCTTTTTTTTAAATCTTACTGAACTCAAACTTTTGAACGGTAGTGTATATTTTTACCAAAATACCTGAAGCACTTCATCAACACAGTGGTGCTGATCCACAGGTTCGCTGTCTTCAGTCATTCGACTGGTGTTGGAGTCCGTGTGCAAGATCCTCCTGCAGCACCAAGAGGAACTCAACGCTCTGGACCGTGCAGCAGGAGATGGAGATTGTGGGAGCACACATGCTCTCGTAGCTAATGGTAAAACATTTTCATTTAAACCAACATATTGATTCACAATCATGTAAACCAACATGTTGGGTAATTTTGTGTTAATGTATTATGCTTTTTAAATGATTGTTTTACTTGACCTCTAAATGTTGTCTACTTAAGCCATTCAGGAGTGGCTCCACACTAGCAGAATCCCTGGGAATTTTGGCCAGCTTCTAGCAGAGCTTGCTCTGTTGGTTCAGCAAAGCATGGGAGGAACATCAGGGGCGGTATGTGAATGTACATCAGGTTCAAACACTTGACTTACTAAACCAGTGCTTGAGCTGATTAATTACTCTATAAAAAAAAATCTCGAAACGTAATTGTCTTTCTCATGAAATTATCAAAGTACGCTTGATCTTTTTCTCCCCAGTTATACTGCCTCTTTTTGTCTGCGGCTGCCCCTCATCTCAAGCAAAACTGTGATGGTGCAGCTTGGGCAAAGGCATTGCATGCTGGGACAGAAGCCATGAAGAGGTCAGTGACACAAGTATTAGCTGAACACTTTCAGTCTGAATTGTTTTCCTTTATACTAGAATGTAACTGTAAACTTAACGATGTGTACAAAGTATAAAGATTTTATTGCAAATATAAATATTTCCTTGTTTTCCAACAGATATGGAGGTGCTGAACCAGGGGACCGGACCATGGTATGATTGAAACACGAATTAGAGTCATATTTTAGTTGTAGTAATTGTTGTACACAAATTAAATAGTAAATGTATATTAGGTAACATATGCATGAATTCAAGAATTACGTTATCGTTTAAAAGTCTGTTTTTTTACAATAGTACAGTAGGTTTTTTTTGCAATTTAAAATCACTATTTTCTATTTTAATATATTTTTCAGCATCATTACTCCAGTCTTCAGTGTCATATGGTCCTTCAGAAATCATTACAATACGCTGATATGGTGCTTAAGGAACATTATTTTTATTTTGGTAATGTTGAAAACAGTTGTGCTGCTTAATACTTTTTGTGAAAACAGTGTTTTTTAAGGATTCTTTGATGAATATAAAGTTCAAAAGAACAGAACGGAACAATTCATTTGAAACATTTTTTTAAACAAAGTAAAAGTCTTTACTGTCATATTTAATTAATTTAATGAGTGCTTGCTGAATAAAATAAAATAAATTTATTTAAAAAAAAAAAATCATACTGACCCCAGATCTTTGAACAGTAGTGTAGATCCCTGTTTACATTTCAGAATATATTGTACATTTAATAATCATAAGTTTATTGGGTAAATGTGTATTACATTATTAATCACCATTACTGTTTATATATCTATGAATATCAATAATTGATCCCTGACACAAATAAAAATCTACTTGAGCAGTGGTTTTGAAATAAAGTCTTATCCTATAGGACCTTCATTAAATCAAGTCTTTGATAGTTCTACGAATCAGTGATGAAACTGACCCTGCGTGTTATCTTTTAGCTTGATGCCCTGTGCCCTGCTGTGGAAGAGTTGATGAAACTTTCCACGGCGGTGCCTCCTGATGGTCACATAGCTATACTACAATCAGCAGTGGAGGTATGGACTACCACTTTAACCATTTTTTGCTTTCCTGTTTTCTCATAATTTCTTGCGTCTATAATATTAGTCTCTTGCTTATCTGTAACAGAAAGCCGATTTGGGAGCGGAAGCAACCCGCAATCTCACTGCAAGGGCTGGACGTGCCAGTTACGTTGCGTCTGAACATTTGACCCAGCCTGACCCTGGTGCCGTAGCGGTTGCTGCCATTCTGAAGGCTATACTCAATGCTTTGAAGGCCTAGAGATAGAGAAGCTCACCAACAGTTTCTTAAGGAACAGTAATGCAAAAGGCTGTAAACAAAACACGAGTTTGCTAACATTTGATTATAGCAGCTCTTCAAGATGATGTGTGGAATTTTAAAATACATTCTCCGATCCCTGTTAAATGTGATTTTTAGTAGGTTGACATCCTTAAAAGTGTGTAAAAACTGTTGCTCGGCACTCAACTATGTTTGGCCCACATAGAAGCAATGGCTCAATCAATTGAGTGAGTTTGGTCCAAGAAACCTTTTTAAAACAGTCATCATTTTTGCACTGCAATTTGGTGCCACTAACAGAATTAACACTTTTTAGCTTTAATGCTGGAAATACTGAATAATTAATCAATGCACTGCCATTAATGAAACAATGAAAAGATGAGTGACTAAGACCAAATAATGTTAAAATGAGATAGCTTTGTAGCTGAATTGTTTTTGTTTACTATTGTAAACTATTATGGTCATTTAATCCATGTAATTTATGTTTATTAATATAAATAAGGTATGAATGGAAAAGGAGCATTAATAAAAGTCCAAAAAAAAAGTTTAACACTAATAAACATGTTTTAACATGCAATTTTAAATGCAAATTTAAAGTTGTAAAATGAATAAATGTGATTAATAAAACCTGTTTTTTACAAAAACATTTGTCATTTTAATCTGTGGTGACATCATTTTGAATAATCTGACGTTAAAGGGATAGTTCCCTCAATAATTAAAAATCGGTCATTATTTATGACTTGCTTTCTTGCAGAGCACAACATTTTGAAGAATGTTGGTAACCAAACAGTTTTTGTTACAATTGACTTCCATTGTGTGGACAAAACACCCTGGGACAGTTCTCAAAATATTTATTTTAGTAAATTTCATTTTTGGGTGAACTATCCTTTTAATATGATGATGACACATATATGGTAATACGTTTTTCCTACATATGAAGGATTACGTGTTCATAAACCCCCCACCCGCATGTTCATACATGTCTACACAAGAAACTTGACAATCCACTTTTGAACCTAGGGTAATATTTATTGTGATGAAGTTAGTATGATGACTATTTTTATTACACTTGGTGTGAAAGCAAGTCGTGCACCCACAGTTTCCTGACTTCCTGTATCATCAAGCACACAGTCCAACATACACAGTAGGTGAGTGAAGAGCAGGACCATGATGTTACTGGCTTTCTACGCAAGCTAAATGTCAGACACTTTATTTTGAACTACCCTCACCAGGTAGGTACATTTCAAACGTTGTAGAGTTTATCAGAGATGGATAACCTCAGCTCTTTCTATTATACTGTATGTCACCATGTATTTTGTATCAGTAAAGTAAATAATTATTTTCAATCCCTCACTTTTTTTTTTGCTTGTAGTTTCACTGAATGAGTCATACTGACGTGATATTATTTTATACATCTTATATAAATTGTAACACCAGGGTGTGTTGGCTCTTGTTTTTTTGCTAACTTTGCTAGAAAAGAAAAGAACAGAAGAAAAGATAAAACGGCATTGGTTGATGATGGCTTAGGCATATTCTAGCTTTGCTTTAATGATTAATCACTTCATTTTCTAGATTAAAATCATTTTACAAGGAAATCAAACTGTGCCACAGTCAGTGTTTACCGCAGGTGTAACTGCCTTCAGCAACTCAAGATCAAAGTAAAAGAAAACCATTTTAGCAGGAAATGAAAGTCTTTAAAAAAAACTAGTCTTACCTAAAATGCACAGAAAAACACAGTATTATCTAGCGTTTTCTGTGTACACAACACAACCAGGAAAGAGTGAAGAGATACATGCTGAAGTTGTTATTTTAAAGTGCCTGGGTGTTACAGGTTCTAGTTTAATTAGACTGTAAAGAATAGAACTTGATGCAAGTATCATTTCTGACTGTTTTTTCACCCACAGAGATGGAGTTTGCTTGCAGTCATGTTGTGTGTAACTGGAGGTCTGAGTGCTTATCGGAAGATGAAGCTAAAGTCTCAAATCAAGGTCAGTTGTATGCTGTAAATGCATAAATGAGAATGGATAACTGCTGTCTGTTAATATTTAATATTACAGCACACATAATACTGATGAGACAGTTAAAGAGACAGAATTACTGAATGAAGAATAATAAGTAGTAAGGGAAAGCTCAGCAACAACATTTTGAGACAACAGTCCAGTTACACATGCCTGGTTTCTCTAGCTATGTCAGATTCAATGTCAGCTTGGGGCAGTTTTTATTTATATTACATTGATAATTGTTTTACTGTTTAAAATTGATACTGATCAAAATTTCACAGAAACAACATTAAATAGTGTCTAATAGGTAGGTTCCCATTGTGACAACTAGGCCCATGTTGTGTATTGGGGTATTTTTATATAATTTGGCACAAATAGTCTGTGTGTAACTCCATCTATCGCTCATGACTGCTCATGTTTTGTAGGTTGTGCCTCCACTCTTCCCTGTGGTCTGTCCAGAGCTCAGTCTGTCTCCGATCATCCTTACGACAACCGCGTTACCTTTGTTCAGAAACCAGGTGAGTAATTGACACCTTGTTTTTCACCTTACCATTGCTTTATGAACGTTCTTCCAAATGTGTGAAGTAGCTTGTATGCTCTCTTTACATGTGAAGAAGAATAGTGGGCAAAAATGGAAAGTGAATGATAGGGACTGTTGAACACTAAGAAGGATTGTGTCCAAACAACACAGAACTACTACAGCAAAAGACTGCAAACTTCATTTTCACTTTGAACACCATGTTATCACAAAAACTAACCACAGAGAACTTCAAAAAGCCAACATTCATGAAAGAGCTGCAACTGCTTCAACTTAAATCACAGACACCAATGCTAAAATGCTAAAAAGATAGTGTGATTATCTTAAAACCTAGATAGTTTGAGCACTTGAGCCCCGGTCAGACAAATCAACTGATTTGAATATTATCAACCACTGTGGACAGGTTTGAAGAGAAGAGAGATTCTCTCCTCCAATATCAGTAAAACAACTGGCACTTGTTCTGATAGATGACATTCTAATGGAGACTATTACAAAGTTTTTTGACTATTACAAAGTATGAATTTATTCTAAGAAGTAAGGGTGCTCCGATCAGAATTTTTGAATCACAGGAAAGCATTATCTGCCGATACGATCACCGATACCTATCTTTTTGAAGCCTTCTTTTTTTAAATGTAGAATTATTTATAGTGATGCTCCAATCAGGATTTTTACAGGCATTCATTCAGGGCTTGAATTTCATTTTTGAAAAAGGGGGGAATTTCCCTCTTATGTGACTCTTGTGGGGGGTATTTCTAAATTTTTTTTCAAATTTTTTTTTTGAAATTTTTCAGTAATATATAAAATATAATATATAATTGACCATGCAGTGCATTTTTGTGTTTACAATGGGGCAATTGCTTCACAATAGCTTGCACACAGCACAAGCCTGATTTCGTGAGCTGTATGTGAGGCGGCCTTATGTTTGAGATCGGCCTTTATAGAGACCGACAATCAAATTTCCCAAAGCGATTATCGGCCGATAGCACCAGCCGATAATCAGAGCACCCCTACTAAGAAGGCTGGAACACTTAATAATGTTTTAAGACTGTGGTATTAACAGATCAAATTTGATATACAGCTTATATGGTACTAAATTCGTTTTAATTGTTTAACCACCACAGCTTCTTGTCTCCATTGGCAACACGGACGATTTGTGCCGATTTGTGCCGATTGCAATTGACGTTGCTGGTAGCGGAGAGTGCAGGTGGCGATTGCAAATGACATTAGGGTTGTTTTTTTTTCTTGTCTTCACCCCCTGGCTACTTTTGTAAAATGTTGAGAGATTCAATTAAAAAAATTAAAAAACATAAAAAAGATTGACGTCACTTGTGGAAGTGCAGGTGTCTGAGAGTGCAAGTGCATGTCTGCAGCCAGACCTTTCTCACAGACGTTGATCTTCTTCTGCAGAGGCGGTGTTTAGCCACACTATTACATCATCAAGTGGCACATTCCACAACCTGATGTTTTGGCAGATTGGCTTCAATATAAGCTGTTTTTAGACTAACGAGAAAGTTTTGAGTTGTGAAACTTACAGGATGTTTTTATAGTACAATGACCTCTTATATGTAAAAAGATCAAATTAATTTAGATTTCTCAGTTCATGACCCATTTAAAGGCAAATGATGGTAAAACACCTTAATAAAGAAATATTGCTTATTTCCTAGGTGTTCACATTATTTTGTCCTACCACTTATATAAGCATCTTATGCTCACAAAGGCTAGATTTATTTGATATATATTTTTAACATAATAAAAACAATACCATTGTGAAATACTATTTCAGTTTAGAATAACTGTTTTCTATTTTAGTGTATTTTTAAATGTAATTTATTCCTGTTATGGCAATGCTAAATTTTTAACAACAATTACTCCAGTCTTAAGTGTCACATGATCCTTCAGAAATCATTCTTGTATGCTGATTTGGTGCTCAAGAATCATTTCTTATTATTTTCAATGTATCCTTGTTGAATAGATGTTTTACTTTTCTTTTAAAAAAAAATCTTACTGACCCCAAACGTTTTTTATTCATATAAGAAACTATATGTAATTATTTATTTATTTATTTCATTTTATTTTTTACAGCTCCATCAGTGGCTCCACCACCTGTACCGCCCCGTAACATACAAAGGAGAGACACTCTGTTTAGTGCTCTCCCACCCCCATTACCGCCGAGAGGTGAGAAGACATTCACTCTCCCTTCATAACATGAACAAGCACAGGAAATATTCAGTTATGCAAAAACTTAATCGATACACTAAAAGCACTCTGATGTTTTACAATAAACAGGTTCAATGAGTTGTTTTATTTGATTTTGTGAGCTGAATTACACAACAAACTCTGTGTTCCAACCTTTATATATTATTTTCCTTCACTCTCTCTCTCAGGTCTGGAGAATAATGGAGAGACTCACCTTAAAGCTAATGTAAATGTGGTGTCGCTAAAAGTGGGAAGCCTCGTGGACGTTAGTAAAGGTGTGCTAAACAATCTTTTCTGAAAGCATAAATATCCTAACTGTTCCATTTGTTTAGCTCACTTACTGTCTC